GGTGTCAAGTATATATACATACAGTACTGAATATATTAGCAACAGTGTAAAAGATTGCCCCACACTTTATTACTATTGTTATTAGGAGCTAATAAAATAAGCATCATATATGGAGTTCTGCAAATGGACACTGAGGAAATAAGCACAGAACTTGCAAGCATCAAGCTTACTGGGCCCACTTCTCCTCCCCTTGGAGTCAATCACAAAATTCACATTGGCTTCAAGGGAAGCAGGACTGGAAGCCCATATGGCTTCGCGAACAAAGATATAAAAGGAAAGTGCATATTTCTTTGTGAACCCACCATTTAACTGAAACTTCCACTGAGAGGTGGTTTTCTGATCCTCCACCACTTGGCAACCCCAGACTGGGAGCCCATTGTCTCCATTTCGGTAAATCATTTGGCCATGGATTGTAGGATTGTTTTCTAAAATGATCATCAGGGCTGAAGGAACTCTGGGAGGGAGTTGCACAACGGGGTCCCAGTCAGCTGGTGGGGAATGGTTTCCCCTTGGTCTATGCCATCCTCATACCCCAACAACCATCTCTGGTCAGAGACTACTTCAATATGTGCAACTGATGACTATGTTTTCCCAGTAAAGACTTTTCATAATAGCAATAAGGACTTTTCAGCTGAGTTCCTGATACCTCTGGATTTTGAGGTACTTAACCATGGATCCCACCTTTTAATGCTTTAGAGGTCTGATTATCTCAAGATAACAACACCCTCCACTGTATCTTTTTACTTAAGTGAGAAAAGTCCCACCATTTCTCCTAATCAGATTCAGACCAACTGGAAACAAAACTCTTCCTAAACATGTGCTAAAGTGTCTTTGCAGCAATACATTGCTAGAGAGTGTTTAGTATCTACTCCAAAATGTGACCTCTGGGGTCTTATCACCAGAACTAAAATATATTACTTAATGTCATCTTCACAAAAAATAGGTCTCTGATAGTGGTCAGGTGATTGTTGACTTGACTCTCCAACAAGTCATTACAAATGCTTATGCTTTAAAATATGCACACGAGTCAGCAGTAGAGTAACACTATGACAGAAATAATTTTCCCTAACACTTTTGTCCATGAAAACACATATTCATGAATATATGTATAGTATGAAGCAGGAAAACGAACAAGGTACGATCTGTCTGACACTGGCAAAGTTTGCAGGCAAAAGGCAGGGCAAATCAAATTATTCTTTGGGAGCATTAGTTATTGTCTCCATCTGTTGTTGAATATTTGAATGGGACCTTAACTCTCAAACTGTGCTTTAAGCACTTCAAGGGGCTTTTCCAAAGACAACAAAATAAAGTATTGATTTTGAAAATAAAATCTGTAGCTTCTTCCAAATGCCTTTGTCTAACAACATGATATTGCACCAGGCTTGGCTGCTTTGCCTGGAAAGCAAGATTTAATAGTACATGCGAATATTTTAGGAAGATGCCCAGTTACAGACACGAGTTTGTGTTAACAGAATGTTAATGTCAAGGTGGATGAAAAAAGCAGGCTCAGCAAGAAAAATATAATGACTGTAAATAGACCCCCGACCCCCCAAAAAACTCTCCTTACTAATGGACAGGAACACAGCATTTCAGGGTCTAGCTGCTTTGTGGTTCCCAAATATACTGGCTTTAACATATTTGACCTGACAAATCATGAGACAAACAGGCTTGAGAAGCACAACATTAATAATATGCCTTGAGGGAAGAAATGACACTTACATTCCCGAGCACTGCCTTGTGAAACCCTTATAAACTTTCCTGTGCTGGACTTAGTACAAACTCACAGGTCAATGGAAAAATAATGGGCCAAGCAGTGCCTCTCTGAGGACATCTGGAAAATGTCAAGTGCTTCCCTTCCTTGTATTTGCTGAGGATTCTGAATTCATTTTTACTAGTCAAGCCTCCCTGGAGCGACTGTTAGGAAGGGGAAAAAAGTGTGATTAAGAAAATCTAGTAGCTGCAGAGGTAATTTATTGTGTAGCTTTTCTGTAATGTAGTTCAGGCTCTTGGATAATGGGTAGGGAGAGTATGATTAGAAAGCTGTAATTCAGTTGAGGGGTCAGATGCTATCATAAGCAGTGAGAGCAAACCTCATGTGGCTTAGGCATGCTACCATCAGAATCCCAAAACAGGACGAGAGCTTTGATCATCAATATCTCACCCTATTCACTTTCTGGGAACATATTTTTTAAAAAATAGGTCATCATTTGAACAATTGTTCCAGCATGAAAATTGAGATTTTTTTTTTGAGGCATTAGTGAGCTTTTACATTTTTTGGTTCAAATTGAAAGCAAGAAATGACAAACTTTCTAATGGCAAAGCACAAAGATGCACAAGTCTGGGATGATTGCTAGGTTGTTGTTTCCTTTTTTCTTTTCTTGGTGTGGGTGTGGGTGTGGGCATACTTAACAGCACTGCAGATACTATTAATAGCTGCAGTCTTATTATTTTCCACAATTATTCTACAGTTGCTGTGAGAACTCTGTCAGAGACCCAAGCTCTAAACTGCTATAAAAATCAAATTCCAGCCCAGGCTTCTACTGACCTATTAGGTCTCTGTCACGAAAGTGGCAGCAAAATAAAATCCTTTCAATGACTCTTTTATAGTGCATACTGGGTTGTGTGTGTGTATGTAAATGGGAATGTGCCCTCTCCGTAGGAATAAGAAATGGAAAACATAACAGGCACAAATAACGCTTACTTGCTGGAAAAGGAGGAGCCACAGCAAGCATCAGTCAGATGCAGAATGGACATATTAAGGCTACAGCTGTTGGTTCTGACTAATTTAAAAGGCCACCTGCACAAAGGCAGATTGGAAACAGAGGATAACCCCGCTGAGGGGGCTCCATAGGAAGCAATCTGTTACAAAGGAAGCTGCACTTTGTTACTACGAGTCACCTCTACAAAACTAGTGAAAATCAGATATGTTCCATTTTTGTGATTATGTTGCTTTCTCGTGGCTATAAACCCTACTGACTGGCTAGCTAATGGATATTTTCCTGTTGCTGAAGCAGCAGAAACTGGTTTTTGACAAATGAGTAGAATTTACTTGTAACAAACATATTAAAACTTAATGGTATCATTATCTGAGTGCCAGTGTTCTCACTCTCCCTGTGCTATATTAATCCCCTTCTCTAGCATCTCTGCCTCTTATTGATGGGCCCCCTTGTCACATTAAACCTCGTTAAGGCAGCCACCTGTAGGGGCTGTGCTTCAGCCCACTGCAATGCAGCCCTTGACCTACCTCATGGCAGCTGCCATTTCAGGACAGCTGGTCTTGAGTGCCGTTCTTCATGCCATGCGTGTGCTGTTTGGAGGGCAGCCATGGTGAGTGTTGGTGGCCAGGAATTCATTACATAGTTAGCCACTAAAAAAGAAAAGTTCACAGCTGCATGAGTCTGGATGTACTGATGGGTGAGTGACTAAAGATAGCAGGGACCTGACCCTGCCTTGCCTTGCACCTTGTTTAATCATTTACATCTGTGCAAACCCGGCGTCGATTTGTCAGCACTTTACACTCAAAGGGGCATGGCCCAGATCCACAAAGGTACTTAGGCACCCAAACCCGGGTTTAGGTGCCTAAGTCCTAGTTTGGCTCCACTGTGAGCCACAGAACCTTCATTAAATCTTGTAGGCACCTAAACACACTCGGTGTCTATGTTTTCAAGGTAAAAGTTCTCTAAGTGCCTATGTTTCAGCCTCTGGGCATGTGCACTGCTGCATCCCTCTCATTTAAGTCCCAGAGCAATTCACAAACTGGAGGAAGATAGATGCTTGGCCACCTAAGCTGTGTGGAGGCCCCGATCTGGTAGGCAGCCTCTGTGCATATCTATCAACTCAGGCTCTATTTGAAATCTGGTGGTGGTAGTGTCCACCTTATAACTTTTAGCCCAGTGGTCAGAGTATTCTCCCAGCACATGGGAGATCCAGACTCAGTTCCCCCCATCTGCCTGATGGGAAGAAAGATTTTGAACAGGGATCTCCCACCTCTCAGAAGTGTACCCTAACCACTGAGCTATGGGATAGCCTGATACGGGATTCCCTCATTCTCTTCTGTTGAAGCTGTTCCATTATGGATAACTAATGACAGAGTGATTGGTGCAGGGAGACTGGGCCCCCCAGCTTCTCCCGCCTGCCAGATGGGTCCGCTGATCACTGCTCTACAGTTTGCTCCCTCTCATGCTCTCTCCCTGGCTCAGTGGCTGTTAAAGTATTTAGCCAGAGTGGAAAAGCTTCAACAGGAAAGACTGAGGGATTCCACTGCACTGGAATATTCCATCACTCAGTGGTTAGTGCACTGTCCTGAGAAGTAGGAGGCCCCTGCTCAAATCCTTTCTTCCCCCTCTCTGTCAAAGAATGCGGACCTGAATCTGGGTTTCCCGTATCCCGGTGGAGTGCTCTACCCACTGGACTAAAAATTATAAGATGGGGCATGGCACCTCCTCCTCCTCCTCCTGTTTTGTGTGGAGATATCTAACTCATTCCAATAAGAAGAGCCTAAGGTGCCAGACTCCAGGTCGGGGGTTACCATTTGTGGAGATAGGCACCTCCCTGAACCTATCTCCATGACGGGGAGGGGCTTAGGGCACATCCCTCTCATCAGCATCTCCCACTGGGTAGCTTAGGTTGCTCCTCACCTGGCATGCTGGTTTTTGTGGATTGCAGTCTAAAGTGCCTATCTCTCTCCCCCGGCATTGTATAGTACAAGTTGCAATGCCTACATCTCTCTGTGGATGTGGGCCTGGGTGCTGAGCACTGTTAAATATTTAGTCCTGCCATGAGTGCTGGGGACTGTATCAGATGACCTCTTGAGGTCTCTTCCAGGCCTATGATTCTATCTGGCTGACTCATTTAAGTGCCTAAATGATCCATAGAGGTATGTATAATGTATCCGTATAACATAACACTCACATATAAACATATATATATATATATATATATATATATATATATATATATATATAATGATATAATAATCATGATATAAACATAAACGGACAGACACTCAGGATGAAATTCTAAAAACAACCCCAAAGAGAAAACCAAAACATCTCACACAGTATTGACTGCAAACTTCTGCTGTTGTTGTGGTATTTTGAGCTAATTCTGGTTTCAGCAAATTGGCAAATTCTCTGCTGGCTTTGCTGGATGACCAGAACAATAGGACAATCCAGAACACAAGGCAAGAGAAAGAAGCAATATTTTGCCACAATGGAACCACTGATGTAGAGTGTTTTCTAACAGCTACAGTAGTACACCCAGCTGTCTGAGTCTGGAAAATAAGGGGTGAAGTTGGGGGTGGAATAGATCCTGTCAAGAAGAAAAAGATGTGAACAGGATTTTAACTGTTATTATCTCTTCTGGCTGCAGCATGTTGCCAAATTAAACATTGATGCAGAGTTCTCCAGAGGCTATTTAGAAGGAAGATAGAAAGTCACCTCTGTGCTGTTTTGTGAAGTGAATATGACCAGCATATGCACTAGTCTTCATTCTAGATGAGCTGATGGGTTCAGGAAAATTGGCCATTCAAGCCAGACAAGATTAGGTGACACTGAGAAGTGGGTGAAACAAGGTGGAGAGAAATTGATAGCTGCCTTCTCTCTCTCTCTCTCCCTCTAATAGCCTGCAAACCGTGCTAAAGTGGGCGCAAGAAATACAGCATTTGTTGGGCAAAGCTTGTTTGTGTAATTCAGTTTGACCTATACTAAACTACAGAGTGACATGGGCAAATGGTGCTTAGTGCATTTCCTTAACAGACATTCATATAATTAGTCTTTAGTTTCCAAACACACATCTCCAGGGGTTTTCCCCGTAACTCATGTTTCTCTCAGCGATCTGGGGTGAGGTCAGTACTACCTTCAGCTACCAGTCTGAGCATCAGCTGGGAAGATGGAACACCGTCTCATCCACTCCATTAGGGTAACAGGGATGTATAAATAAGGTCCGCTGTGGGCTTTAGAAGACAGCTCACTGGACACACTTTGGAAATGAGTCATTCAAATAAACTTGTCAGAAATGATGGGCTTTGGGGCTCACATTATTTGTGCTTCTTAGAATAGGGACTTTGGCATCACTTAGTTCTGTTTCAGAGAGCAGAGCTACAGCCTGGGACAGACAGATACAGGACAAGACCGTGTGCCTGTAAGGCCTAGCATCAGGCTAGCAAACTTCTCTGAGCTAGGAAGCCTTCAACTACCTGCACGTTGGGGAGCTGCCAGGTAGGCTGTAAAAAGTGTAAAATGAAAGCTATCTAGCCAGGAGAAGCCAAGCAAAAGCTGGACAGTGGTATGGTAACTGCCTTACTTCTTATGCAATCCTGTTGATTCTAACTCCTTTTCCTCTTTACATCACAAACTTGCTGTGTTTCATTCTGAAATCGCTGCTTCTCCCAATTAGCCACCAACTATCCCTCCAGCCTTTTTGGAAGAACAAATAAGACCGCCTGTGGACAGAATACAGATACACTGCAAGAATTCTTGCCTCAGATGATTTGAGTGGGCGTGCCAAGTTCAGCGGAGATATCGGAGCAGCTCATGGAGGGACACCCACACAGCTGTCTAAATGACTGGCCTCTAAGGGCTGGTGACCATAGGTGCAGCACCCCCAGCACCTATGGTCACCAGACATGCTACAGCGGCACAGTGGCATGGGTGCCACTGTACTGACACAGGGCTGTAGTGTAGCCTTGCGCTAGCTTGGGAGAAGTTACAGTTCTTCCCTTCTCTGCTACTCAGAACTGAAAGTCAAATACTGCACTCTTTTCTCAGGTCAAATGTTCACTGACTTTTAGGGAGACTGGATTTGTCTTCCCTGGGAGTTTTGCCTAAGTAAGGTCCAAGAAAAGTCCGGTAGATTGCAGCTTAATGTATTTTAGCTGAAAGGAAAGAATCACAGAATCATAGAATATCAGGGTTGGAAGGGACCTCAGGAGGTCATCTAGTCCAACCCCCTGCTCAAAGCAGGACCGATCCCCAATTAAATCATCCTAGCCAGGGCTCTGTCAAGCCTGATCATAAAAACTTCTAAGGAAGGAGATTCCACCGCCTCCCTAGGTAACACATTCCAGTGCTTCACCACCCTCCTAGTGAAAAAGTTTTTCCTAATATCCAATCTAAACCTCCCCCACTGCAACTTGAGACCATTACACCTCGTTCTGTCATCTGCTGCCACTGAGAACAGTCTAGATCCATCCTTTCTGGAACCACCTCTCAGGTAGTTGAAAGCAGCTATCAAATCCCCCCTCATTCTTCTCTTCCGCAGACTAAACGTCCCCCATTCCCTCAGCCTCTCCTCATAACTCATGTGTTCCAGTCACCTAATCATTTTTGTTGCCCTCCGCTGGACTCTTTCCAATTTTTCCACATCCTTCTTGTAGTGTGGGGCCCAAAACTGGACACAGTACTCCAGATGAGGCCTCACCAGTGTCCAATAGAGGGAACGATCACGTCCCTCGATCTGCTGGCAATGCCCCTACTTATACAGCCCAAAATGCCATTGGCCTTCTTGGCAACAAGGGCACACTGTTGACTCATATCCAGCTTCTTGTCCACTGTAACCCCAGGTCCTTTTCTGCAGAACTGCCGCCTAGCCATTCGGTCCCTAGTCTGTAGCGGTGCATGGGATTCTTCCGTCCTAAGTGCAGGACTCTGCACTTGTCCTTGTTGAACCTCATCAGATTTCTTTTGGCCCAATCTTCCAATTTGTCTAGGTCCCTCTGTATCCTATCCCTACCCTCCAGCGTATCTACCTCTCCTCCCAGTGTAGTGTCATCTGCAAATTTGCTGAGGGTGCAATCCACACCATCCTCCAGATCATTTATGAAGATATTGAACAAAACCGGCCCCAGGACTGACCCTTGGGGAACTCCACTTGATACCGGCTGCCAACTAGACATGGAGCCATTGATCACTATCCATTGAGCCCGACAGTGTAGCCAGCTTTCTATCCACCTTATAGTCCATTCATCCAGCCCATACTTCTTTAACTTGCTGGCAAGAATACTGTGGGAGACCATGTCAAAAGCTTTGCTAATGTCAAGGAACAACACGTCCACTGCTTTCCCTTCATCCACAGAACCAGTTATCTCGTCATAGAAGGCAATTAGATTAGTCAGGCATGACTTGCCCTTGGTGAATCCATGCTGACTGATCCTGATCACTTTCCTCTCCTCTAAGTGCTTCAGAATTGATTCCTTGAGGATCTGCTCCATGATTTTTCCAGGGACTGAGGTGAGGCTGAAAGAGAACTGCCCTTCCATTACCTCTTTCCTCCCCAGTGACGAATTAAAACAGAAAAGGGCCAATTTCTGATCCCTTAGTAACAGAAAAACCCCTTCACCACTAGGTGCTGCCTGCTTCCTGAAAGATGTAGCCTGACAGATTTACTAGGGCTGGAATAGGAATAAGGGAATGGAGAGAGAGAGAGAGCACTTCCAGTGCACTATGAGACAAAAATCCCTCATGCATATGTGACTCAGCGTAATGCTGAAGCTGCATGGTTGGATACAGGTTAAAATTAGAGCTGGTCAGAAAAATTCCACAAATGTTTTTTCATCAGAATTTGCCAATCCATCAAAATAGACATTATTCATAGAACCAGTTCGATTTAAATCCAGGTAGGATTCTATGGGAAACTTGCCTGGTTTCCTGTCAGCCCACCTGCTTGTCTCCTTTGCAGCCTAGCTGGCAGGCTGAGGGGAGCCTGCCAAGTAGATTGCCTCAGAGTCAGGGACCCAGGTTTCCAGGGTCTGTGGCTGGGAGGTAGCCTGCCAGGCAGATTGCCCTGGAGTCAGGGATCTGCTCCCTTTCACAGTGAAGTTTAAAATGTTTGGTTTTGGTTCTGAATCAGAATGCAAGCAAATAGCAATGTTCTCTGCAAAATGGAATTACCTTTCTCATTGAAATCTTGGCCTCATCAAAGTCAACGGCAAAATTCTCATTGACTTCAATGGGGCCAGGATTTCACCCATAAAATATAGCTCAGACACAAATTAGTTCCTTATCTGAAATGTAAAAACAGAGTTGTAAACTACATGGTCCATTTATTAGAAACAATAACTCTAGTCTAAGGGCAATTCATATTACCACTATCAAGTTCTCATCAGATAACCGTGCAAATAATCTGGGTCAATAAATAAGCCCATAAAGATACAAGAGGCTGCTGAAAAAGTTTCCAGCAGGAATATCTCTAAATCTTTTCCCTTTCTTATTTCTAAAAGTTTTGTTTTTAACTACTGCTTCATGAGTGCACTAGATTAGGAGCTCAGGCCTGCTTTCTTGTTTTTCCGTTTGGTTTCCTGTGCTGTAGAAAAGATGAGAAAGCGGTTAATAGCAAATGTCAGTTGTCTTTTGCTTTGTACTGCATGTTACCACCAATTCTAGATGTTTGTGTATGCTGTTTGCTCATTCAACAAGGGTGGATAATTGCACATTAATGTGATCATCACAGTGAGTGTGTCTGTGTAGAATGGAAATGTTACTCCATTCAGTGCATTGTTTGTCTTTCGTTAGTAGGATGTTAGCATTGCTCTCACTCTCTGACAATGTATTCACAACACTCTGCATCTAATCCTCAGCATTTTAATGTTCTGTCTCCCTTTGAAACTGCTTCAGCTTGAGGATTTCACAATGCCACTTGATACTGTACTCTCCTTGGCTCTATTCCTTCTTATTCATCAGGCATAGCAAAGTAGAGACTTTGTGGGTTAGTGTAACAAATGCCAGCTTTGTGGTTTTTAAAATTTGGCATTCTTGTTAATAAGTGCAATCCGTATGCATTCTTTTGTTTCCATAAATAAATTTGTGGCAATCTGATTTTCATGGCCGGAATCAATCTAAAACATTCTGTATTTGGTCTTAATGGATTTTCCTTACGTGTAAAGTGAAAGGAGGAGAGTCACAGGAGAGGTGCTGTGTTTTTGTTTTTTGATTTTTGTTAAAATCAACAATGAAAAAAAGTGCTTAAATGGCCATTTAATTATATTGATATTTGAGCATGATCTTTGGGTTGGTTTGCAGCTAGGGACAAGTGATGCTTCTTGTGACCTGGCTTAGCATGTGATTTAGAGCTCTCCATGAACAGTTCTAAATTTTTTAACTATTGCATGGAAGCGGTGAGGGTAGGTTCAGACAATGGTGGGAGACTTGCATCTGTAAGGGTGCTCCACAGGACATGGAGACCATCCAGAGCTTGGCTGATCTTTACCATTCATACTCAGATGCTAAAAAGGTGTGGAGAACGATGTGAGCAAAGTGCTGCAATGATAATAACACAAGCTCTCTAGGGAACTGGGATATCTTGGCCTTTACCATGACCTTGTCTGGGGCACATTGTCAGAGTAAGGAGGTGAGACAGTGATTAGGTGAACTTGCCTCATATAAAATGGTAAGGGCCTACATGTATTTAATGGATAATATATACTTTACATATGAGCTAGCAATATATAAGCAAGTGCTACAAGCCATATAAATGTGGGCTTAGTTTAATAGTTTGGTTCATAAGACCTTTGAATACTCCTTTTGGGAATGAGTGCAAAACAAAGCCATTTAGTGTACTAATTATCCTGTTCAGTTCTTGACATGTCTCTGATTTGGGTGCAGGACACGGCCGAGGTTACAAGGATGAAGATACAATGAAAGGTTAAGATCATCCTGCCAAATATAATTAGGATAAACAAGAAAAGTCCCCAAATCCCTGTCAAATATTCAGATGAATAGTTTTGTTATGGTTCAGAAGTAAATAAGTTATATAATTTAGGGTGTAATGAGGAATCTTATATTTGGTCATAGAACATTATTAATTATTATGTAATGAATCAGAGGAGCATGTGTTGATAAAAGTATGGTTTCATCTTGGGTATAAAGGACTGCACAGAGACTTAAGTCTTTGTCTTTGTTTGTGTACAGCCATGTACTCAGCCAAATCATTGGTTGGTCACCCTCAGCTGATCACTGGAGTGTGGCACCTTGTACCTATGCTAAAATAAACCTTTGGATCTGAACTCTGAAATTAGCAGTGTTTTTTGTCTACTACAGCAAGCAGTGATTGTCTCATTTGCTAGGGTCCTAAAAGTAACCCCGGGGGGGCCTGGTTGGTGGACCTAAAAACCTCCTTTATAGTAGGTTCCCCCATTCCTCCAGTTTAAGATGAAATCACAATCCACTATTCCCCAACTTCCTCCTACTCAACTGCTGCGCCCTCCTGCATCTCCCCGACAACCTCTATGATACAGCGATGAGTTGTCAATACAAAAATCTGCAGCATTCTGACAAGGTGGGGACAGGGTAAAATAAATGGAATTAATACCAAAATAAAAAATACAGCGTGCTGACTGCATTATTCATTACCATATATAATTCATTCAAATCCTCCATTTATAAACTGTAAACAAAGCTGCACAGAACTTCAGGATTATGTGACACTAGAGGGCTGTGTAATCCAGAGATTTTGCCTCAGACTCTGGGTCCAGACTTCTAAAAAGTTTATTAGTGTCATTTATTCTCTCTTACTTTAACAATCATAAACAGAAGAGTATTATTTCAGTTGTGGCACACAAAAAACCACCAAAATACCTATTAGGAGTAAAGGGGCTGTAAGTAGAGGCACATTAAATGATCTAGATTCTTGCATTTATAAACACCACTATCTGTTATATTTCTTAATTCCCAATTTCATGTGTTCTGTTTTAATAGCTCCTTTAAATCTCAGCAAAATGTGATTTGTGAGAGAAACAGTCAAGCTAGGGAGTCTCCAACAGCTATGTGCTTGACCTCTCATACAGAGGGATCTCCATGTTCTGACATTACCTCACTTTTAAAAAAATAGTAGGAAAACAGATAAAATACTAGGGGAAAATTCACTCCTGGCATAACTCTAATGAAGCCAATTAAGTTAAACTAAAGATGAATTTGGTTCAGCAGAGCAGATCTTCTGCCAACTTCCACTCCTTTTGCTCTCTGCAAATTGAGCTGACACCTCCTGCAAGTCCCCTGCTGAGGATTCTGCTGGTGTGGGAAGATTCACCAGCAGGCATAGCTGGTCCCTATGTCTCCCTCCCTGCCAAAAAGACATACTGAGGTGGGTGGAGGTGTGTGTTGGATCAAGACAGTGGGATAGGTGGCAAGAGCATGCGGGCTCCAGCTATGTGCTTCAGCCAGCAGGCTGCCCTAACCAGCACCAGAGCTAGTGCAGAGAATCAGGGAACCACAAGAGGCTTGTTTGCAAGCTACCCCAACTCTGCTTTACCCAGCAGAAGCTGGATGCAGCAGTGATAGTGCCTCAGTGTAGCTGGGTTGATTTCATTACATAAGCTTCTTGACAGAGCGTAATCGGGTGAAATTGACATAATTTACTGCAGGATAAATGCTGAATTGTAAAAATCAAATTGAATCCCTCATGTTCTGAAAGACGACATGTGAAGTGCAGCAGTGCAAGTAGGGGCCAGAAGATGTGTAGAATGAGAAGGCTGAGGACTAGGGGAGATTTTCAGAGAAATCTCCCTCATGTTCCACTGTATGTAGAAATCAATGAAAAAATCCAGAGGAAAGAACTTCTTAGTGTGGGGCTTACTGGGGTCAAGCAAATCTGCTGCATGGGTTGGCTTTAACTGATACGGACTGTGTCTACACTAGAGGCCTTACAGCGGCATCGATGCAGCTGCACCACTGTAAGGTCTCCTGTGTAGCTGCTCTGTGATGATGGGAGAGAGCTCTCCCATCGGCATAAGTAAACCACCCCCAGTGAACGGCAGTAGCTATGTTGATGGGAGAGCGTATCCCAATGGCACAGCGCTTCTGTCCATGTAACTTATGTCAGTCAGGGGCATGTTTTTTTTACACCTCGACCAACAAAAGTTTTACAGACAAAAGTGCTAGTGTAGACATTGAGTTAATGAAGAAATTTAACTTTAGCCACTAAGTGTTCTAAAGTGAAACATGAAGATGACGGGAAACACTGCCCAGATCTATCTATGCAATGTATGACATGAACACAGACCCTGGCTATAAAACTGATGGTTTCTCCGCAAAGCATGTGATACTGAATTGGGCCAGCAATGCTGAATTTTATCAACTTTTAAATAAACAACAACAACAAACAAAAAATGGAATACAGGGTCTTGAAAACTGACATTTTGTTTTTCTTATTAGACAATATATTGATAGTAGTTTGTAAATATATATATATTGGTAAAAGTGTTTAAATATACTTTATCCTATTATGCTGTGTGTTTACTACTTTAATTTAATGGCTAAATTGATAGCTAATTATAATTTGATAAGAAAATGAGATTGGAACATATACGATTTACATGTTCAACATCTTAACTGTAATGTGGCTGGCTTACTTTAAAGTGGTTTCATATTTTGTCCTTAACAACTCTAGAATCATTATAAGAACCAGGAAGTATATTTGTAGCAAATCATTTCAATACCTCTGAGAATTTTCACAGAAGCCCTTTGTTTCTTGTTGCGGGGGGAAGGAAGGGTTTGATGTCTGCCTACTTGCTGACACTCATTTACCCACGCTTTAAAATAGCCTCTACACTCAGGTCATGCAATCTAATGCAAACCAGAGCCATATCCATGAGCCGTATCCATGTGGGCAATGATTATTAAAGTGGCATATTCTTGAAGCATTTGAGAGTACAATTGCCATCACAAAACAAGTCACACTGCTCTGTGCATTTCTATAGGCATTTCACACAAACTCACATGTCCACGTGAAAGCACACACACAAAAGGGGTTCTCACCCCCTTGCAACTTTTTAAGAAACGGACACTGGATATGTAAAAAGGTTGTCTTCTTTGATTCTTGTGCTCACCAGTCATTAAAGAGTTCCTTTCCAGAGCAGCACAAAAAAAGAAGAGCTGGTTGACAAAACATTTTTTTCCTTACAAAGATGTGTCAACCCTGAGCTTGTAATTAAGAAGTTAAAATCTGTGATCTCTATATATTTATATATATAAAAATAGATGATCATACTAAGACTAAAAAAGTGAAAGAAATCTCCATGTCAGTACTATATTTTTTTGTCTTGACTTTTTGTAGCACAGTACCCCTTGTGATACAGAAACTAATGAATGCAAAGGATGTAGTTATGTGTGAAACTCACGTATGGATCCAATCACTCTTATCAGTCCATTAAAGTATTGTCAGGTTGGTGGGATAATGAACACAGTAGCAGAAAATTCTAATCAATGTCAAACCTGTGGCAAAAGGAAAGAGATTCTATCACAAGACATTATTTTCTGTCCAAACCCTTGAGGGAAGATTTGTTTAGCATCACCACAATTGTTGATGGGACGCAAGGTGGAAATCTGTGCCAATTATGTAACGATCAGTACTGAAAGAAGCTAGAGAAATAGTGCATCTACTCAAATTTTTACTGGGCATCAAGATTTAAATCATAAGCAACTGTAACATGATATTCTGAGCTTAGTGGTGTTACTATAATACTAAAAGACAAGCTTCTTTTTTCAGCCTCCTGTACCTTCATACCAATCTGATGATGTTGGCAGATGGAGTGCAAGATATTCACCATTGAAACATACTCTTATTGTTGTGTTAGAAAAAAAATCAAACTTCTTTGCAATAGTAATGATCATTTTGATGACCTGAATCACTGGACAGAAGCCCCTAGAGGAGGCCTGGCTGTCTGTGAAGAACTTTTGTCTTTTTGTTCCCCCTTTTTTTTTTTTTGTCTTTTTGTTTTGTTTTTCTTGAAAATGCAGCAGCCTTGAGTTTGGCCTGATTTAGAAGGAAATTTGCTTTCTTTGTTTCTTTCTCTTTTTTTTCTTGTTAAGGAAAACATCACACCGAAAGATCCTTTTTACTTCTGCAGCATAATGCAGCTCAGAAAGTCTCCAGTAATAAAGATCTGAGAAAGAATTTTCTCAAGAGTGGACATTGTCTTCACAGATATCTTGAAAGAAACAGGAAGCAGTTCAGTCTGGCACCTGGTACTCTTTGGGAAAACAAAAAGGGAAGCAGGCTGTAGTACTGCTCTCTTCTCATAGAAAACTGTAAGTATTTGTGGCATGGTCCATTGTCCAAGAGTGTAAGAAAAGGAGCAAGTTGGCTGTTTTCGTAGCTAAAACACAGTCTCTCTGACCAGAACCAGGATTATCTCCACTGTCTCTGCAGTACAAGGATGATGCACATGATGAACAACGTAAACAGTGAATGGCTAGATTGGATTGCTGAAGAGTCTACTTCTCTCCTGTCTGAGTCAACAGGTGGTGCTTCTGTGGTGATGAAGTCAAACTCTGTAGGACAGATATCATCAGTGCAACCACTTCCACTTCCTGAGCCACTGGTTTCATCACCTAGCACAGGGAGGTAAGAAAAACAACATAAGAACATAGAAGTCAACCATTCATTCCTCAGATCCATTATTCTGACTTTCAGAGAAGTAGCCAACCCCTGATGTCTCAGAGGAAGGTGGAAAAGCCCACGACATACTTGGTGAATTGTGCAGTGCTCCAAGACTCCAATTCAGCAAATTTCTTTAGCCTGTGTTTAAATCCATCTCTATTCTGCAAAGCAGTCACTAAAAGTCACTGGAGTTTAAGCAAGTACTTAAGCTCTTGATGAATAGGGATGGGCTTAAGCATGTTCTTAACGTGATGACATGTATGCCCTAAAGCATAATGTATGTTGGTAACCAAAAGGTAACATAGGAAACAAGTATCATTGGAAAGCTTTAGAGTGCAGGCTGCACAGGGCAGAGACTGTGACTTTCTCTATGTTATCAACAGCACAGAGAACATGTTTGCTCAATAAATAATACGGTTATAATACAGTAGTAACCTTGCACATACACAGAAAAGGAGGTTCTCTTCTCTCTCTCGTACATCAGTGTAAAACAAGAGTAACTCTTTTGAAGTCAGTGGAGTAACACTAGTGTAGGTAAGAGACGAAACAAGCACTCTAGCTTTTCTCGCTCAACCCTCAGGCTTTCCGTTTAAGGTTGCTGAACTATGGCACATCTGGATTCTTGAATATATTAATTAGGAATCAAACTGCAAATTGGACCACTTCAATTTATTATGACTGTTTGCAATGATTCCTCTGTTTCATAAACTCATACCTTCTAAATGGGACAGTATCTAAGAGAGGCTTCCATTAATGTCAATTTGCTAGCATGCAACCAACAAGACAACATATCAAATAAAATATTTAAAAAGTAAATACAAAAATTGGAAGATCAGAAATTACTTGACCTTGTATCATTCCATTATATGACATTAGTCACTATACTACATTTAGTTATGCTAATTTTATACAGGACATTGTGGTAACTCAGTAAAGAAGCATTGGTCTCTTAACATACCTTTTTCTGTACATGTATTCTAGCTCTCTAGCAGACCTAGCCTACAATTACAGTGACAATAGTACTACTAGCCAGCATGTTGATTGTCCTTAGCACACCTAATGGCTATTTGCATGATATTTTTTTCATGCATACTATCCTATCTCTAGTGAATCTTTTGTGTACATGTGAGCATAATGCTCATTGTTTTCTGACTCTAGAATACTGGAAGTTCTTCATCAAAAATTTGGGGAGGGATACATGATTTTATGTTATGAGATAGCTGATTATTATTTATGTAGCACCAGCATGCTCAGGACTTTACAAACAAGCATGAAGACAATGTCCCTACTCTGAAGAATTTACAGTTGAAATGATTAAAAGTACACCTTTCATTTTATTCCTACGTTTAGGATTTTTTTTAACACTTCACTCCCTTCCATTCACTTTCTTTTGTAAGATAACAATGCTTTGTTCTCTCTGTTGCATCTGCCCAGATCTTCTTATTGCATCACATCCAGATGTGTATTTGTCTCTGAAGTGAATCTGGCTTCTTTCCTGATATTTCCAAACCTTTCCTTCACCTGGTCAGCAGTGGCCAAGGCAGTTCATTGTAAAGAACTAGAGTTTAAATTTTTGATTAAGCAAAATGAGACTAAGGACGTTCATGGCTGAAGTTCCGCTGTATCAGATACTTAGACTTTGCGTACACGACAGAGTTTTTTCGACAAAAGTTATGCCGCTTTAATTAACATGCTGTTGCATGTCTACACTATGTCGGCAGAGTGCATCCAACTCAGAGCCATCCCTTGGGTAGGGCAAATCAGGGTGACTGCCCTAGGGCCTGCGCTTTGGGGGGCCCTGTGCTTTGATAAAATTGGGACTGTCCCAATATTTAGCCCTCTGTCTCGCGTCCCGACCGATGTACGATTGGGATGCCATTTGTCCCAATATTCAGGTGAGGAGGTGGGCGGTGAGGTGAGGCCGGCGGGTGAGTGGGGTGAGGAGGCGAATGGGGAGGTGAGTGGCAGGTAGGCAGGCAGGAGGGGGGTGAGGAGGCAAGCGTGTCAGCGGACGGTGAGGAGGAGAGCAGTGGCCGGGCAGGTGGGGGAGAGGGATGAGGAGGCAAGCGGCGGCCGGGCAGACGGCAAGTAGAGTAGCAGGAAGGCTGATTTGTCCCAGGCCCCACACCCCCCAGGGATGGCCCTGTCCGCACTAGCAATTCTTGCATCAACACAGAGAGCAGTTGCACATTGTGGGTCCCACTGTGCAACTGGTTGCACGGTGCTTTGGGATGGGTTTGCAATGCCTCATGGGGCAGGTACAGCGTCACATCATGCAGATTTCTCAGTTGCATTGTTCCATGGACATCCTTCTAGATTGCTGGCGACTTTTCAACGGAAGTGTATGTGGGGGGTGGTTGGAGGGGGAGAGTGTGTGGCAGGGAGCGTGTGTGTGTGTGAGAGAGAGACAGAAACAGTGTGTGTTGGGGAAGTGTGTGAGAGATTGGGGGAGTGTATATGTGAGAGAGACAGAGTGTGTGTTGGGGAAGGGTACGTGTTGGGGGAGCGTGCGTCGGCATGCTGTCTTTTGAAGTTCAGACAGCGGCGTGAGGGCAAGGGGACCCCTCCACGCATGAGCCCCCAACTGCACAGCACAGCAGTCTCTCTCCCCCACCCCCCACAGCAGCAGCCCACTCTGCCTGCCGGCTGATTCCACATTAATGGTTCTGTGATTCCCTCTGAGTTCTCCCACAGCCTCCTCAGGGGCTCTATGAGCTCTCCATGCTGAGGGATGTCAAAGCTTCCCGGAGCTTTGAAAGGGGAGGGGTGTGTGCCTGCAGGGCAACCGAGTTCAAATCAGTGAGCAGAGCGGTCACGGTGGGCATTGTGGGATACTGGGGGAGGCCGGTTATGTCGACATAACGGACAGTAGCACCTACACTGGTGCATTGGTGCTTTAACTTTGCTGCAAAAGGCTTTATGCCTCTCGTCGAGGGGGCTTCATTTTGTCAGCAAAACAGCAGAGTTCTTCTCCCGAAAGTAGCTTTGTTGTATGTACACCTCTACTGTTTTGTTGGCAAAAGCTGCCTTTTGCCGACAAAACTGTGTCGTGTAGACAAGGCCCTAGTGTAACACTAGATAGAGAGTATAGGCAGTGGAAGAGGCAGTTTTCATGAGAGGCTTCAGACAGGGATTGGGGTACAATGATAACCTCAAAAAAGTGACTAGAAGGTACACCAATCCCTGTCTGAAACTTCAAAGAGCACGAAACAATGGGTCTGAGAGGTGGGAAATGCTCCAGTCATCTCACTCAGAGCCCTTTGCCCTATGACTTGTGCAGCCATGGAATTAGGCATTTTTCTAAAATGTCACAAAATTCAGCATTTTTGCTATAGAATTCATTATTTTGTTGTAACCAGGCACCTGGCAATTTTCTCTCTCCCTGCCCTGCTGGGACCTGCCTACAACTGTTTCTTATTTTGCATTTTACCCACAGAGAGTAATCAGTTGGATTACAGTATAATGCTCAAATAAATCTGTTAGTCTTTAAGGTGCCACCGGACTCCTTGTTGTTTTTGTGGAAACAGACGAACACGGCTATCCCCTGATACTTGGATTACAGTGTGTGTTCTGGCACTATTCTACAGAGCCAGGCTGGAGGCAGGTTGATGAGCTAGAGCTGGTGTACAATTTACACCCAGAAAACAGGTGAGCAAGCTATGCAACTAGGTGGTTTAGTCCCTCGGCCCGCACCACTTCCTGTAGCCCCCATTGGCTTGGAGTGGCGAACCGCGGTCAGTGAGAGCTGCGATTGGCCGAACCTGCGGACGCGGCAGGTAAACAAACCGGTCTGGTGTGCCAGGGGCTTTCCCTGCACAAGCGGTGGACCGGCTTTGAGAACCACTGGTTTAGAGAATAGAGCAAACACTGAGGCTCAAGGATTTTGAGAAGATAAACTGCTGAAACTGACTATAAGTTCCCACCTTAGTCCTGTATGCATTTGGGTGCGGGAGGCAAGAATGGAGAAACAACAAATGAACACTGCAGCAGATTGTGGTCCCACTGTGCCACAGAGTACATGGGCCCCTGATTATTACTGTTGTTTATCTTTTGAGTCAAGTGCATATTCACACGGAGGGATGGGACTGCATTTTTTAAACATGGCGCTTACGGATGCAGTGATAGACTCAGGCAGTTGCAGTGGTGGAAAGCTGGGGAGATGAATTGAAGCAGGAGGAAGGAGAGAGGCAAATATAATGCTACATCTTAAGAACAAAACAAAATAAAACTCCCCAAACATGTAATAGCTATAATAAGACATAAGCCTAGCTCCTCCCTGATTGGTTTACTTGTACATTTTATCTCTTTCCCCCACCCTCCATACTTTGTCCTCTTCTCAGATTATATGATCTTCATTTTATGGGAATGTGCTTGCAAAGGCTGTAGTGCATTTTGGTTGCTACCATAATCTAAAAAACAACCTGCAATAATAACAACTAATAGCACAAACCCAGATCTGTTTAAAAAAAATACTGCATGAGTCTGATCTTGAAAAGTATATACGGAAACCTTCTTATGAGGACCATAGAACCATATATGATTTTTCCTTGAAGACTTTTACTAAAGTGAAGATCGCGGAGTACACTGTATTCTCTGATTGAGAACTTGAATGTGGAACTTGAGTTCTAGTCAGTAAATGGTCAACCTTGAGAGACGGAATGATATCACTGAAGCAATTTTAGGATTTGTTTACGTGGGAAAGTTTCACCAGATGAACGAATTAATTAAATGGGTGCAAAGCTCCATGCGGACACTTACTGTAGTTTAACAGACAATTTTGACTTAGCTCCCAATCTACTTAAATTAAATTGAAAAAAACCATTTAAAGCGACATAAGCGTGTCCACACTGTGGTATGCACCAGTTTAACTAAATCAGTGTGAGGCCTGGCCTATGCTTAAAATTGAGGTTGGCATAACTACAGTGCTCAGGGGTGTGAAAAATCTACACCCCGAACCCTGTAGCTACGTTGACCTAACCCCCAGTGTAGACACAGCTAGAATGCTTCCGTTGACCTAGCTACTGTCACTCAAGTAGATGGTGTTCCCATAGCACTGGAAAAACCTTTTCCATTGCTATAGACTGGATTGGCACTATGAGGTTATGCCGGCATAGCTACAGTGATATAGCCGTGCCTCCATAGTCCCCATAGTACAGACATGGCCTAAATTCACACCTTAGGCTAAGCTGTTTTATGTAGGCAAACCCTTACATTGCTTCACTTTTCCAACCCAGGACCATCTGGAATAAGGTATACTTAGCAGATTACTATAACTAAGGAGAGTTATTAGAATTTATAATGGCCCCGATGTGGTGGGTTTATGAATTTGTTTGGACGATATGTTTGTTTGCAAAATCAGTTGCTTACTTGTATCTTGGAAGTTCACATCATTTCCATTGTATGCATTCTTCAGTTTGTTAGTCATGACTCTTAGGGCCATGATTTGTTGCCGTATGAAGGTGTCAGGCCTTGTGATGTCCACATCTACTTCGGGATTGTTGATCTGGTTGGTCAGCCCATCATTCATAATCTCAGGCAGGTATCTAGACAGCAAAATGAACAATTGGCTCTGTATATAATGTTTTATGGAAATGCGGACCATAGTGCAAATTCTATACTAAGCAATTTGACAGTATTAACTGTCTTTAACATTTCTTATAAAAATATTTAGAAAACTACTTTGTCAGCTTTACAGAGTCTAACAGCTACTGTTCTTTTTGAAGAGCTTCGACATATGGAAACAAAGAAGAGTTAACATCATCTGACTGGTTAACTCTGCACACTATCAGCAAGTGCTCTTGCCTCTGAAAACCACAGTTGAGATTTACTAGTATAGTGTAAAACTCTAAATGGCCAGATCCTCGCTAATGAAAACTAGGTTCCATTGACGTCAGAGGAGCTACATTATTTAGCCCAATATTATCTAGCTGATTATCTAGCCCAATATTCCTTTGTACTTTTTTTATTTTTATCTATCTTGTTATGTAAAAATAGTTTCTATCGCATATAGATCATTTGCAATGACAACTTTGGTCAGCTGTTGAAAGAGACATGTTATTAATCTTTTCCTCTAAACCCTTTTCTCCGACCTCCTTTCTTAATCATTGTGGGCAACCCCAATATCTTGCCCATCACATAGGCCCGTAAGCTGGGCATCATCTTCAATTCAGACCTCTTTCTAGGTCCTTGCCTCTAAGCTATGTCTAAATTTTGCCAATTCATTCTGCTTAGTATCTCTAAGATAACATCTGTCCTATCCATCCATGCAGCTAAAACTCAACATCATCTCATGTTTCAATTACTGCAACACCCTTTTCTCTGGCTTTGACAAATGGAATCTTGCACCACTCACATTCATTCAGAATGCAGCTGCAAAGACCATTGTCCTAGCCTGTCTCTTTGACCAATCACCCCTCTCTTTGCACGCGTCCCTCCATGGGTTCTTCCTTCTCTATCATATCAAACATAAGCTACAGGTCTTCACTTTCAAGGCCCTTCATGCCCCATCCCAATCAAGATGTTGACTCCCACTTCTAATCAGCCCACACATGCTAGGCTCCATTGCCCATTTGTTACATTTTTATGCTTTCCCTCATGCTTCTCCCCATGCTCGGGAAGAGCTTCCAGTACATAGTCACAAAACCATGTTGTTCTCCTCCTTCAAATGTTTCCTTAAAACTCTCCTTTGCTGTGATGTCCAAAAAAAAACTTGATAACAATTAGACTGCTGGTACTACGATCCCACTACCTGTCAAACTTACCAATATTGCCTCACTGTGTTCTTGTATGCCCCTGGCTGTTTCTTGTCTTATACTTAGATTGTAAGCTCTTTAGGGCAGGACCTGTGTTTGTGCAGCATCTAGCAAATAGTCCATGACGAGGGCTCCTAGGCACTATGGTAATACAAATTATTATTATTATTGTTATTGTTATTATTAATAATAATAACAATACTAATAATTTGTATTACAACAACAACAATATATAATAGCTGTTGTTTAATTTGGAGATATATCTGAACACTAAGGACCTGACTTCAGTTCTCTAATGGACTGACAGACTCCCATAAGAGATAAGGACCTGTCACTTCCAGAACTAAATGCAAAACTAATTTCTTCAGTTCAGCTGCTTGCTCTATCTTTGACACAAACATAAACAAACAAACAAATTAATATCTTATAAATGAACCCAGAAATTTCTCCTAAGGCCGAGAAGGAAAGAGTTAAAATAGAAAAAACAATAATCATCTTTCTTTCTATGTAGTAGGTGCTCAGATTCTACAGTGGTGTAGGACCAATAGACAGAAAGAGGCTGTAAGACAATAAGATTCTTTCCCCAGGAGAAACAACCAGTTACTAGCTAAAAGTGATTTTAAGTCTAAGTATTTATTCTGAATACTCTGCATCAGAATTCCTGTTCATGACTGATGACTGTTCTGCTAATTATCTGATTCAATCCATGAGAAGCAGTGTTTGGCTATGAAATATGATGCATCAAATTGCAATGACTGATTTATGTTTGACTTCTTGTCTTATTGTGTAATAGAAGTAGAACCTAGTTTATGTGATATACTGAGTCCTGAGTAAGTTTTCTATATGGAAAGCATATGAGTTATTTTGGAAGTTTAATGTAATAAGAGTTTTCTGGTATATTCTTTATTTAGGATGAATAACAAGTTTCAAATTCTGTAAATGGATCTGTGTGGTGGACCCTGGACCCACCCAGAGATCAGCTGACTTCAAGGGGATGTCAAGTGGGCCTAGTTGTGTTCTTTCACCCTAATTCATTTTAAAATCACCTGTAGAATCAGATTCACTCCAGGAACAGCCATGACATTCACAAAATGATGGTTTGCTCTGCTATGATTGCTAGGACTTGAAAAGAGTCAAATGAATTACACTCACACACACACACACACACTTAAAAACTGTATTTGCCATAAGAAGGATGAACTTTCAAACAAAAGTGTTAAAGATATGAAATCAACAACTTTATTGCATTGGCTCTCCAAGATAAAACTTTATTCCAAAGGATGAAATATAGTGGCTACTGTATGATACACTTTCAGTTTCAGAATGGGTTAGGTTTAATGATTCAGTGCCTAATTTTCAAGTTTGGGAGCCCAAAATTTGGCATCTAAATCTATCTTTAAGTGCCTAAATCAGATTTGAGGTGACTAAAATTATTATTTAGGTGTCTTCATGCAGATTTAGTTGCTACACTTTAAGCACATACATCTTTAGTATTGCGCTGTCAAGCCACAGTTAGCAAAGAACTTAAGCATTTGTTAAATTTAAGCACACTTTAAGAAAGCCCATTGACTTCAAAGCATTTAAAGTTAGGTACATGCCTAAGTACCTCGCTGGATCAGGGCCTCAGTATTTACAGCACGTGTATGAAGTATTTAGATAATTGTTATCAAAGTGGCTCACCTGTTTTCTCAAAGGAAAGTCTCTTTTGAATGTAAAAAGCTAAACATTGCTACCCTTTCTTTAGACCAGGGATATAGAAGTTCAAAGTCCAAGGTGTTTTTCGAGTGACATCTTCCCCCTGAATGACAGCCAAGCACATGTTCTTACAAAAGCATTTTGATGTGTATGTGGTAGGGTTAAGTCACCCAAAATTGGAAGCAGTGGCAGGAGACCATTTTTGACAGAAAATTGGCTGCAGGGTGGGCAAAGTTGTTCAAACACAGCTGCTTATGTTGCAGTTCTGAAAGTGGAGCTACCCCTTTGGGTATTAAGCTTTGCTGCTGCTCTTGTGGTTAACCATCCCTTTTGGTGCATGGTAATAATAATAACGATTCTAAATAAAAATGGAATGGGAGAGGCTAGCCTGGATCTGTGTCCGATTATTTCTCTCACCTCTTTGACAGATGAGAAGCTGGACATTACTGTTTATTTTCGATTTGTTTCTTGCTCAGATACAGCAGTAGTTTAGTGCCGTTTACATTTTCTAAAATCTTAACCCATTTCTTCATTCCTCTTCAGCCTTTCCATACTTCTCACTTGCCTCAGCAGGCATGACAAAAATGCTTTTTGGCACCTGTTATGCAAGTCCCACAAAGCTTGTTTAAAGTCCATTTTTTTTTCAATATGCAGCTGATGTTCCAAAGTATTTTCTTTCTTTTCAAGACTAAAAATGGCTGATAATTCTTTTCAGATTGCTTACATAAACAAACCACAGTGGCCACTGAACAAAAATGGATGGGTTTTCCATTTCATGAATGACATCTGACTTAAAGGGCAGTGTCCTCCATCTTCTGCTGCTGCAGCAGCTGTTTACTTAACACTGGGAAATTCCACTCAGTAAGTGCTGTAGCTTTCATTGGTGTCTAGTCTTGTGAGGAAGACAAAACAAATGCAGCAGGGAGGTTCACTCAAGCTAGGATAATGGCAGACAAGCTTACCCAGCCTGCTAAGATAAAAAGGCACTTACAATTGGCTCACTTGGCCAAACAGACAACCCCATCTGTCTCTTTTCAATCATAGGGCAATCCCCAAAGGGACTGGTTAGTGTGTGTGTATGTGTGTGTAAAGGAAAAACAGCAGCAGCTGTGCTTAGGTGGGATATAAGGGAACACAGGGACTGGAAGGGAATGGTCCATCTGTCAAGAGCCTGGAAGGGGAGCCCCAGCAAAATTAGATTGGAAACCATACATTTATTAAGAGAAACATTTTGTTTAGTTGCTGAGAGCTGGGCTTAATGCATTTTCTCCAATGGTGCTGAACATAGATGTCCACAATTAAGTGCAGCTGAAACAAAGCTGTTGTTAGAAATGGGCCATTTTCTTAGTATAGACAATGCTCTAGAGCCTCACTTCTTCCACCCAACACAGAGAGAGCCCGAACTCTATTGGACCAGGCAGCATGTGCTTCTTCAGCTAAACTGGGTTCTGCAGGCGAAGGGAAGAGATGGTTGCGGCTGGCTGTAACTTCAGCATTGTACCATGGCATTTTGCTTGTCATGGTATTTGGGTATCTTAGTTTATTTCAAGGGCTAATAATTGGGATTTGGTATAACTGAATACTAACGCCTGAGACTTCTCCAAATTCCATCTTATCTTTCATAACAGTCACCTGGGTGAGCAGATCACCAAGTGTCATTAAGACCTCACGTGCATAGAGGATAACATTGTTACCCAAGTCTCTTGAATTTATACCCAAGATACTTTTTAAAAACAAACAAACAACATTTGTGTACACATTTTCATGACCAAGAATATGAGATGTGATGGGGCAGCCTGCTGGGTACTTCTCAGAAGGGACTAGGTTTGACGTAGCTATCATTAACTTTGATTCTGGCTATTAGGTTTTTTTAGAAATGGGATTCCATCCATCTCATAAATGTTCCCAGTTCCATACCATCCAACTCCCACCTCCTCTGCCCCAATATTTACATTTGACCTTATCAAACAAATGCTTTTTCTGTGTCAAGGGTCATCATCATAACAAGTGCACCCTTCCAGAAAGTCAAATGGATCATTCCTGTAACTCTGCATGTTATCTGCTAATTGGTGGCCTTGGATTAACCCCATCTGGTC